CTTGACAAGCAATGCAAATGAAGTGATATGAAATGCGGTTTGACGATACCGTTTGCATAAACGGATTCAACAGGTTTTGCCTGTACGTGATCATTATCAGCCGAATATCAATCCACTGCTGAATGAGGGTCCCTTCATAGCCATCGAGTCCCTGCACGCGAGCCGATTTCATGTCTCCATCTCCACCACGGTGGACGTACTGTCGGGCGTGTTCTCTTTGGCTGCCACTCCATTATGAGTCTCGACCACCGACTATTATCCCTCATAGCCACGCCGTGTCCTGGCCCCAAGCACATGCACTTTTCTTTAGGCAAATAGATGTCTCTGATTTGTATTTGTTCCATGACCCACGTCTTTCTCTTCCTGTTTTCTCAGTGTAATCCAGGTCACGTATCTCTGGACACTTATCTAAGCACTCTTCAGTCATCTTTGTCCACGAATTCTATTTAGGTGAATTTCAGTTCCGTGTAAAACTTGCGTCGCTATAATTATCAAGAGTTTGTGGAAGTTTTTTGCAATAAAACATGTTTAACAATCCCGTAGATTGCGATAAGCAGAATGTATAAACAATAGGTATCATTTACATTTGTAACGCGGAGAGTATTTTTAAATCCTTTATATTAAGTTCGCGTGCTTGCTTGCTTGCTTAGGACCGTGCAAATCTTTCGGTCGTTTTTTAACCCACTTCCCGTGATCCAATCGACCTGACATTTTCCACAGACTCGTTGTGTGTGACAATTAATTTTCGTGAATTTTTTTTTCCAAAATTTTACACTGTTTAGGGAAAACTAATTAAATATTTAATTACCAATTGCTTAATACTGGCAGACAATCATCTGACCCATAGATTGCAGCCATCTCAAGCCAGAGGACGAGAGGACTCTAGCCGCCACGCATATAAAGGATTTAGAGTGAAAAACTTTGTTTTTACGGGTTTACTTGTTTCACTCTCGAACAGAGAACGATTCAGAGGCGCGAGGAGCCAGTGACAAGTTGCAAGGCAGTCACGTGGTGAGTCGGTGCCAACAGTTGCCCAAGATCTGCAGTCCTCTATTGGTGAAGTTATCGGCTAGTCTATATGTAAGAGGAAACCCGAATATCCGCAGATATACAACGCGTGCGAGAAGAAAATAGTCTAACCCACACAGATGGAACGGCTGGAGTCCACATTTTACACGCTTTTTAAATCCTTTATATTAAGTTCGCTTGCTTGCTTACGACCGTGCAAATCTTTCGGGCGTTTTATAACCCACTTCCCGTGATCCAATCGAGCTGACATTTTCCACACAGACTCGTTGTGCGTGACAATTAATGTTCGTGAAAATGTTTTTCCTAAATTTTACACTTTTTAGGACAAAAATATTATATTTAATTACCAATTGCTTAATGGTGCAATGCAATCATCTGACCCATAGGTGGCAGCCATCTCAAGCCAGAGGACGAGATGACTCTAGCCGCCACGCATATAAAGGATTTATAGTGAAAAACTTTGTTTTTACGGGTTATACTTGTATTTAACTCACTCTGTCTGTTGTTGTTGTTGTCGTATCCATAAACCCTCACCGCCTCCACAGTACTGGATTTCGTGCGAGCGGCAGCACCGACCTGCTGCCAACAAGGACACGGATGAGACGAGCACCACGTACGCCCGACCGCCTTTGCCTCCGCACACATTCTGCTTTTGATCCTAGATTTGAAGTTTTCGTGACTGCAAGGATTCATACTCTTTGTTTTTTTCGGTAAAGTCACGTCGGTAAAAAATACAGCTCCATACTATTAACATTTCTTCCCTTTATTAATGCTAGCCCTACTCCCTCCCTTTGATGCTGCTAATCCTGCATAATGCACGGGCATAATATGACTTTGAAACCCCCCGCCCACCTCCTACGCATTCCACAAGTAATGACTAATTCCATATCTGCATTTCCCATAAATATGCTAAATTCTTGATATGCAAATTCTTTTGTCAAGGCGCTCTTCCCCCTCCAACCCAGCTTAAATATACGCTCCAAGCCTGGTGGTGTTTCATTCAGACGCTGTCTTTCCCGACAGACCTGTTCTTCACCTGAGGACGGCTGCTTGCGTTGTGGCCGAAACGTCGTGAGAATTATTTTATTATGTTTTAGTTTTATTATTTTATTATTTCCCTTCTACGTGACTTTACCGAAAGAACCAAGAAGAAAAAAACACACACTTAAGCGGTTGTGCTTTCGCTAAGTTGTCTCCAGCTGAAGAAGAACGCTTGTGTTGCGCCCGAAACGTCGTGAATTAATTTATTTTAATTTTTTACCCACATGACTGTTTTTGATTCTTAGGCATTCTGAACAAAGTGCGCGTGTTGAGAACACACTTGTGATATGAAATCAGGTCTAGTCGATGCGGACAGTGAGTGTGACTGCTCTGAGTTCGAGTCATTGATTCACGTGGACATTAAATCGTTGTTGCCGTCACGTTTTTGCACTATAGCACCACCTGCTGTTCTTCTTATATCGTCGCATACATCATCATCATCACTACCCTGAAATCATTGTGTTTCAGCCATACGCAAACAGCGCACGGGGACCGTAGCTCAGTGTGTATTGTTTGATCACCACCATGATTATAATCTTAATCTTTAGTATATTCATGATCAGAATCATCACGCACCATCATCATGAACACCCGCGCCATCACCACTGCCATCACCACCATCATCCTACAACCAGCATCACGACCATGAAATACTCTTACTAACATAATCATCGCTAATGCTGCAACCACCATCACCACCAATCACTTCCACCACAACAACGCCATTCGCCACGAAGTGGCGGTGACGTCACCACGACGCTTGTGCCAGGCTAGGTGCACTCTGAAGCATCGTGAAGTGTCGAAGGCTCGCTGGCAGGAGGTCACGGGACAGACCCGGGTGCCATGGGTCGGCTGACTGAGAAGACCGGTAGAGATGCACAACCTGTGCCCCCTGCTGTGCCAACTCGCTGTATTTTATCCGCCCGGCGCTCCGCTCGTTGTTGTGAGCGTCGCTCCTCTGCCCTCCGCTGTTTGTGGTGGGCGACTGTCTCCAACTGCCCAGTAGCAGCAGCAGCGACCTTGACGAGTCTCCTCCACAGAGGCCGATCTTGACACCGCTGGTACCGGTTGTCGGCAAATCCACTCAGCTCCACATCCTCCCGGACCACATCAGCTCCATCTCTTCTCCAGCCCGTGTCGTGCCCGTTCAGCCCGCTTCTATGCGGCCAAACAGAAGCTGCTTGGGCATGCGGTGGCCGGGCATGCGGTGGCCGGGCATGCGGTGGCCGGGCATGCGGTGGCTGGGCATGTGGGCTACGTGGTGACACAGCCAGCGGAGGAGCTCACTGATGAGAATGTGTCCAGATCTTTCAAAGATTTGTGAACTGCTAGGGCACGCGGGAGACCCGGGGATGGGGGGGGGGCACGCGGTGGGGGGGTGGGCACGCGGTGAGAGGGGGGGGGGCACGCGGTTCAGAATGAATGGTTCAGAATGAGATGTATTTATGAATGAGATGTATTTCTAGTGGAGGAATCCGATTAGCTATCAAGCTCTTTTTCACAATCGTCCAGTCGGGGCGGGTAAGAACGTTACAACAATACAACAACAACACGATCGTAGTACAAGGTACACAAATCACCCAAACATACAAATACAACTGAAGCATCCCCATCCTCTTCTTGGTTCTTTCGGTAAAGTCACGTAGAAGGGAAGTAATAAAATAATAAAAATAAAACATAATACAATAATTCTCACGACGTTTCGGCCACAACACAAGCAGCCGTCCTCGGGTGAAGACCAGGTCTGTCGAGGCTTTACCGAAAGAACCAAGAAGATGAATCCCTGCAGTCATGAAAGCTTTAAATCGAAATCATCCCCATCCTACCAGGCAAAGCCCACGTGTTTCTACGCATGGTGCGAAAGAAAATCGACGTAGAAACACACACACACGCGCAGCCTTGCACCCTTTCCGGCACAATCACTCTTTGTGGCACGCTCCACCAGGTGTCGGCAGGTAGGAGCGATTGGTTGCGATTGCTCTTGAGATGATGGTGCAACTTAAAATCGTCTGCAACTTCTTCGTCCGCATCCGAACGAGGAAGTGAAACACCACTCAGGACTGTCACCTTAAGTTGGCTCATACGCAGCACAACGGATCGGATCGCCCTGGTGTGGACCCGGCCTCGCGGACAGCCGATTCTGACATCCGTGTGACGTCCAGTGCCTGACCAGAACACATTCCTGCTGCGGAGGGAGCTGGTAGGAACGTTGGGTTGCTCGGTCAATGGCCTGCAGGGTCAACGGCGGCGTGGTGTATTCCGCAAATATGCCCGACTGTGAGGGCGGGCACAAGCCGGCGTGAGTAGGTTAAACGTTGAGTTTTATAAGGGCACCACGGGGTGACCAGCCCCTCCCCACCCAGCCCCACCCAGCCCCACCCAGCCCCACCCTCCCCACCCTCGCCACCCAGCCCCTCCCCACCCTCCCCTCCCCACCCCTCCCCACCCAGCCCCTCCCTCCCCACCCAGCCCCTCCCTCCCCACCCAGCCCCTCCCTGCACGCCAGACGGACACAATAATCCCCTATGGGCTGGTGTAACCAGGAGGTTCCTACCAGTATAACTGGAAGCATGCGACTTGTTAAGACGTGGGGGGGCACGCGGTGGGGGGGGGGCACGCGGTGGGGGGGGGGTCACAAGGTGGCCCCGGGGGTGGGGGGGGGGTCACGCGGTGGGGGGGGGGGGTCACGTGGGCTCCGTGACCCCCCCCCCCCCCAACACCTTAGAGCCTCACCTGCTCGTGGGAGCTCCCACGTCTGTCAGCGACTAGCCCAACCCCGCCCCCACCGGATGTTTACACCGGAAGTGGGCGTGTCAAGGGGGCGTGGTTACACGGATGCCCCGCCCCCACCGGATGTTTACACCGGAAGTGGGCGTGTCAAGAGGGGGCGTGGCTACACGGATGCCCCGCCCCCTCCCTGGCCACGCCCCCTGACGACGGAAGCGGCGTGGGGGTTCGAACGGCGGCCCTCGGACTCGTGAGGCGGTCGCAGTCGCCGACAAATAAACAACAACAACAACAACGACGACAACAACAACAACGTGGGCAAGAAGAAGCAGCAGAAGCGGTAAACAACAAGTGAGCAACTCCCACAGGCGGAGCGGGGAGCGGCACCGCGAGGCGGTGAGGATGGACGCGAGCGACAGCGGCGGCGTGGACTGAGCAGGAAGAGTTGAGGCGGGGGTCGTGGTGAGCGCCACATCAGCATCATCAGCATCATCATCAGCAGCATCATCAGCAGCAGCATCATCAGCAGCATCATCAGCATCATCATCATCAGCATCATCAGCAGCATCACCATCAGCATCATCAGCATCATCAACATCATCAACATCATCAGCATCATCATCAACATCATCATCAGCACCAGCAGCCTCATCAGCATCATCAGCATCAGCCTTATTAGCACCAGCCTTATCATCAGCAGCATTTATCATCAGCAGCACCAGTATCATCAGCACCAGTATCATAATCAGCAGCCTCATTAGCATCAGCCTTATTAGCACCAGCCTCATCATCATCAGCATCATCAGCAGCAGTCATCATCAGCAGCATTCATCATCAGCAGCGGTATCAGCAGCAACATCACTAGCAGCTGCAACATCCTCAGCTACATCAGCAGCAGTGATATCAGCATCATCATCATCACCAGCATCATCATGGGCAGAAGCATTATCATCAGCATCTTTAGCAGCAGCAACAGCACCAACATAACCAACATAACCAGCATATTCAGTCTAAGCAACAGCAGCATCAGAAGCATCTTCAGTGTCAGTATAATTGCCATCAGCAGCATTTTTCGTCAGCATTCTATTCAGTAGCGTCAGAAGTTACAACTTTATTCGCATTATTATAAGCATCATCATCATCATCCACACGATCAAATGTGCCATCAGCACCATCACTGTCATCATGAGCAGCATCACCATTAGCACCTTTTTTAGCAGCAGCAACGTTGTCATCATTAGTAGCATCATCATCGGCAGCGTGACCATCAGCATGATCATCAGCATAAGTAGTTACATCTTTATAAGCACTATCATCAGCAGCAGCATCATCAGCGTGAGCATCATAATTATCAGCAGCATCATCATCAGTAACATAAAACATCTGCAGCATCATCAGCAGCCTGTGTGTCTACTTGTGTGTGCAGGCTTCTGCAGGAGTATGCAGGGAAGATTGGAGGTTCTGGCCCTGGCCAGCATCAAGCGAAGGAAGCCATGGCCTCAGATCAGATGGATGGGCCTGGTAGGATGTTGCTGCTGACACAAGACTTACTGTAATTGGTTCTTTACCCTTCTATCTGGCAACAAAACTGACACCTTTTTGCAAGGAGTCATGTTTGCATAGACCGCAATACCTGCAGTCATAAATACAAACAAAAGACATAACTCTGATAATGTGCACTGTCCTTGAAGTTGATTGGTCCACACCCGAGACAGCTTTCCTTCGAGCCTAGTCTCATATGGGTTGGACCAGATGACGCCAAAAGGCGCACAACTCAAGGACAATGCACCATCAGAGTATGAGAGCTCGGGGCAAGCATCTACACTATGGGGACCTCATTTGCCAGTAAAAATATGATAATTGGTTCTTTACCCTTCTATCTGGCAACAAAACTGACACCTTTTTGCAAGGAGTCATGTTTGCATAGACCGCAATACCTGCAGTCATAAATACAAACAAAAGACATAACTCTGATAATGTGCACTGTCCTTGAAGTTGATTGGTCCACACCCGAGACAGCTTTCCTTCGAGCCTAGTCTCATATGGGTTGGACCAGATGACGCCAAAAGGCGCACAACTCAAGGACAATGCACCATCAGAGTATGAGAGCACCATCAGAGTATGAGAGCTCGGGGCAAGCATCTACACTATGGGGACCTCATTTGCCAAAAGGTGTCAGTTTTGTTGCCAGATAGAAGGGTAAAGAACCAATTATCATATTTTTACTGGCAAATGAGGTCCCCATAGTGTAGATGCTTGCCCCGAGCTCTCATACTCTGATGGTGCATTGTCCTTGAGTTGTGCGCCTTTTGGCGTCATCTGGTCCAACCCATATGAGACTAGGCTCGAAGGAAAGCTGTCTCGGGTGTGGACCAATCAACTTCAAGGACAGTGCACATTATCAGAGTTATGTCTTTTGTTTGTATTTATGACTGCAGGTATTGCGGTCTATGCAAACATGACTCCTTGCAAAAAGGTGTCAGTTTTGTTGCCAGATAGAAGGGTAAAGAACCAATTATCATATTTTTACTGGCAAATGAGGTCCCCATAGTGTAGATGCTTGCCCCGAGCTCTCATACTCTGATGGTGCATTGTCCTTGAGTTGTGCGCCTTTTGGCGTCATCTGGTCCAACCCATATGAGACTAGGCTCGAAGGAAAGCTGTCTCGGGTGTGGACCAATCAACTTCAAGGACAGTGCACATTATCAGAGTTATGTCTTTTGTTTGTATTTATGACTGCAGGTATTGCGGTCTATGCAAACATGACTCCTTGCAAAAAGGTGTCAGTTTTGTTGCCAGATAGAAGGGTAAAGAACCAATTATCATATTTTTACTGGCAAATGAGGTCCCCATAGTGTAGATGCTTGCCCCGAGCTCTCATACTCTGATGGTGCATTGTCCTTGAGTTGTGCGCCTTTTGGCGTCATCTGGTCCAACCCATATGAGACTAGGCTCGAAGGAAAGCTGTCTCGGGTGTGGACCAATCAACTTCAAGGACAGTGCACATTATCAGAGTTATGTCTTTTGTTTGTATTTATGACTGCAGGTATTGCGGTCTATGCAAACATGACTCCTTGCAAAAAGGTGTCAGTTTTGTTGCCAGATAGAAGGGTAAAGAACCAATTATCATATTTTTACTGGCAAATGAGGTCCCCATAGTGAAGACTTACTGTACTTTTTAAATCCTTTATATTAAGTTCGCTTGCTTGCGTGCTTGCTTGCTTGCGTGCTTGCTTGCTTACGACCGTGCAAATCTTTCGGTCGTTTTTTAACCCACTTCCCGTGAGCCAATCGAGCTGACATTTTCCACACAAACTCGTTGTGCCAGACAATTAATGTTCGTGAAAAAAAATTCCCCAAATTTTACACTTTTTAGGCAAAAAAAAAATATTTTACATATATTCAAATAGAACTCATTCATGACTTTGGCTGAACGTCACAGTGTAAGAGCCCAGAGCGTAACCCCTCCACAGGCCGTGGCGGAGTAGCGCAGTTGGTAGCGCCCTCGCTTCCCATGCCAAAGGTCGCGGGATCGATCCCCGCGTCCTCCACAGGCGAATATATTTTTAAATCCTTTATATTAAGTTCGCTGCCACGCATATAAAGGATTTATAGTGAAAAACTTTGTTTTTACGGGTTATACTTATTCCCCACCATACAACCAGTTTGGCGCGGTTCTAGAGGCACCCGGTTTTTCAACTGCACAAGCCGAGCCGTGCCGCTGACGTCACATGCGCCGGACGCGTCATTGTCCCAGGCCCTGGCCCTGTTTCGTCCCGAGCCAGGTTCAGTTTGTCTGTCGCGGTGTGGTTCCGGCATTGCTCAGCGAATAGCCGGTGGTTAAACCACCCGTGCCGTGGATGTGTCGAGCTGCGTGGATTTGGTTTTGGTGCTTAACTCTCTACCTTTGGCATGGGAGTTGAGGCCACGTGGCTTATGGGTGAGATTACTGAGCTGGTGCCGTGGGGAGCCTGAGTTCGAATCCAGGTTTCGGTCATCCGGCCTTGTGTAATCGTGGTGCTCAAGTGTAGTGAGCTGATGGTGACTGCACTAAAATGTCATCACGAAAAAGGTTGGGTAAAAATATCAGCGCTGGGAATTGAAAAGTATAAAGAAGATTTCTTTGTAATGATTCCGCAAATAATTACTTTTACATTACGCATAGCAATCATCGCCTCCCTCTTGCGAAAATTTGGCAGGACCCTCCTGAAAATCGTCATGAGATTCAGTGGGGATTTCCAGGGTAAACCAGCATGATAATAAAATAATGCAACGTTCTTCTTGGTTCTTTCGGTAAAGTCACTCCTCGACAGACCTGTTCTTCACCTGAGGACGGCTGCTTGCGTTGTGGCCGAAACCTCGTGAGAATTATTTTATTATGTTTTATTTTTATTATTTTATTATTTCAATTCTACGTGACTTTACCGAAAGAACCAAGAAGATGAATCCCTGCAGTCACGAAAGCTTTAAATCGAAATTTAATACAACGTTATTTTGACGCCATGCAACAAACATCTCAGTGTCTCTGACGCAGCCATTATGAACCACCCATGAGCCACCCGACCACATCCAGGTTGCGCCTCGCTGTAAACCACGGCTAATCTCGCACCGTTCTTCTCCGTGCGCCACACCGGTGCCGCCGCCGCCGGTACCGGCACCGGCACCACCAGGACTCGGAGAACCTGCTGCTGCTGGACGAACGCCGCGCCTCGGTACTTTTCCTCCCGTCGGGACGAACGCGGCGCCGCGTTCCACGCCTCCACTCGCTGCTCCCGCGCGTCGTCGCCATGGCTCCGTCCAGAAACGGCAAGTCCTCAAGCGCCCACACTGCTGCCCCATTCCTTGGGTGCCCAATTTATATGGCACCTCTGATTTCATGGCTACTGGATTAAGCTAATGCCAGATGTTGAGGTACCAGATATCTATGGGTAGTGGATTTTTCTGGTGCCAGATTTCATTACTCATGAACCAAATTTCGTGGGTAATGGATTTCATGGCTAATGGATTAAGCTAATGCCAGATCTTGGGGTACCAGATATCTATGGGTAGTGGATTTTTCTGGTGCCAGATTTCATTATCCATGAACCAAATTTCATGATTAATGGATTTCATGGCTACTGGATTAAGCTAATGCCAGATCTTGGGGTACCAGATATTATGAGTAGTAGATTTTTCTGGAGCCAGATTTCATTACTCATGAACCAAATTTCATGGGAAATGGATTTCATGGCTACTGGATTAAGCTAATACCAGATCTTGAGGTACCAGATATTATGGGTAGTAGATTTTTCTGGAGCCAGATTTCATTACTCATGAACCAAATTTCATGGGTAATGGATTTCATGGCTACTGGATTAAGCTAATGCCAGATCTTGGGGTACCAGATATCTATGGGTAGTAGATTTTTCTGGTGCCAGATTTCATTACTCATGAACCAAATTTCATGGGTAATGGATTTCATGGCTACTGGATTAAACTAATACCAGATCTTTGGGTACAAGATATCTATGGGTAGTAGATTTTTCTGGTGCCAGATTTCATTACTCATGAACCAAATTTCATGGTTAATGGATTTCATGGCTACTGGATTAAGCTAATGGCAGATCTTGGGGTACCAGATATTATGGGTAGTAGATTTTTCTGGAGCCAGATTTCATTACTCATGAACGAAATTTCATGGGTAATGGATTTTATGGCTACTGGATTAAGCTAATACCAGATCTTGGGGTACCAGATATCTATGGGTAGTGGATTTTTCTGGTGCCAGATTTCATTACTCATGACCCAAATTTCGTGGGTAATGGATTTCATGGCTACTGGATTAAGCTAATGCCAGATCTTGAGGTACCAGATATCTATGGGTAGTGGATTTTTCTGGTGCCAGATTTCATTATTCATGAACCAAATTTCATGGGTAATGGATTTCATGGCTACTGGATTAAGCTAATACCAGATTTTGAGGTACCAGATATCTATGGGTATTAGATTTTTCTGGTGCCAGATTTCATTACTCATGAACCAAATTTCATGGGTAATGGATTTCATGGCTACTGGATTAAGCTAATGCCAGATCTTGGGGTACCAGATATCTATGGGTAGTAGATTTTTCTGGTGCCAGATTTCATTACTCATGAACCAAATTTCGTGGGTAATGGATTTCATGGCTACCGGATTTTGCTGGTACCGGTTTTTGTGGGTACCAGATTCCTGCTGGCACTGGCTGATGCTGTGGTTTGTGTTGTCTGTCCTTGTGTGCGGATGCAGGCGCGTGGCTCGCTGGCGTGCTGGTGAGCGGGGAGTTGTTCCTGTGGCACAAGGACACGGACTCACTGAAGACGGCACCCGCCCACCCGGCCGTGCTCGCGCTCACGAGCAGAGCGGGCGAACAAGGTGACGCGCCTGGCACACCACTCGCCAAGAAGTGGAACGCGGTTGTCTCTGCCCTGAGTTCTGTTTGGCTGTCTTTGCTGCCATATGGTGTTTTTTTGCTGTTATTTCTATATGCTTCAAGGCTGTACTTGTGTGTACGTTATTGCTCTTGTTATTTTGGTGACCCGCGTCACTCATGCAAACGGGACTCATCCTGGCCTCCCGAGTTGTCGCCACCTGGATAAACTAAATACTTTTCGATTTAAAGCTTTCGTGACTGCAGGGATTCATCTTCTTGGTTCTTTCGGTAAAGTCACGTAGAAGGGAAATAATCATAGAATATTAATATGAAACAATAAAAAAAATTCTCACGACGTTTCGGCCACAATGCAAGCAGCCGTCCTCAGGTGAAGAACAGGTCTGTCGGAAAGACAGCGTCTGAATGACGCTGTCTTTTCTGAATGACGCTGTCTTTCCGACAGCCCTGTTCTTCACCTGAGGATGGCTGCTTGCATTGTGGCCGAAACGTCGTGAGAATTGTATTTTATTATGTTTTATTTTTATTATTTTATTATTTCCCTTCTACGTGACTTTACCGAAAGAACCAAGAAGATGGAACTAAATACACTTGAAACTTGAAGGGACAGGATGGCTGGGTTGGTGTTAGCGGTTGTACAGGGCCAACAAACGCAGCCAGGGCAGTAGCGATAAATGCTCATCTGAATTCTCGCACAACCCACTTATTGTACTGGCATTTCCCAGCCACCTCACCGAATATATTAAGTGTTGTGGGCTTGAGTTGTGAGGTGGCCAGGGGATGATAGTAAAATGGATTCTTGAACCTGTGCAAATGTTTGCCTGGGGGTCCTACAACTCCAGACGATAAGGAATCATCACACGCCTCATAGTTACACGTGACTTGATGTCACCCATCTGCTCTGCTGAGCATTAGGATTTGTAGAGCCTTACGATTAACTCATTACAAAATCGCCGACAAGGAGGCCGCTGAACCGATTGGAGAGTTGCATCCGATTAGAAGGCGAGGAAATCTCACACAACGAGGATAAGGAATTGCAATTAAAACAACACCGCTCGCTAAATACGAACAGACCACGAGCGTTCGAACTGCCCTTTGCTCCCAGGATCGAACGCCCGTCTGTGGGTGCTCCCCTCGGACGAGGGCCGGCGCGTGCTGCTGGGGGGGGCCCCGGACGGGCCCCTCCTGTGGGAGCTGCGCGGGGTGGAGGGCCCCCCGCACGCCGTGCCAGGCTCACTCCTGCTTGGCCGCTGGGCTCAGCTGCCTCCGCCTAGCGACGTGCCGCTGCCCAGCGCCGCCGACAAAGAGGCCGCGGCGCACGCGGTGTTCTTCACAGATCCGGTGAGCGCCGGCGCTGGAGCTAGAGAGCGTTGGGAGGCCTTAATCCAGCAGCAGGTTATTGTGCTATTGGCCTCATGAGTAGGAAACATCTGGAATGCTCGCAGAGCAGTCCAACTCTTCGTGTTGGAGAAGAGTCCACGAAAGTGAAATAAAAATGAACCCGTAAAAACAAAGTTTTTCACTATAAATCCTTTATATGCGTGGCGGCTAGAGTCCTCTCGTCCTCTGGCTTGAGATGGCTGCCACCTATGGGTCAGATGATTGCCTGCCACCATTAAGCAATTGGTAATTAAATATAAAAAAAAATTCCTAAAAAGTGTAAAGTTATGGAAAAAAATTTTCATGAAAATATCAGCTCGATTGGATCACGGGAAGTGGGTTAAAAAACGACCGAAAGATTTGCACGGTCGTAAGCGCGCAAGCAAGCAAGTGAACTTAATATAAAGGATTTAATCACAGAACTGCCTTTGAGATCCCTGGACGTAGCTTATTTGGAGCGCTGAGTTGAACAATTAAAATTCTGCACCTGTGGAAAAAGACAGAGCACAATGCCCAGCGCAGCTGCTAACGATTAGGCTGACCGCAGCATTAGTTCCTGCACGCATGTGCGTGCGATTGAGGGCTCGGAGAATGGGCTGCTGCCACTCGTGCTCACGAGCACAGCTCCGCTTCTTGCACAGCGGAGCAGAGGTCAGGTGCTGGCCACAGTAATTGGTCTTATTAGCTTGTTTGCCAGTTAATTAGTCGGTTAATTACATGGGGCATGCCTGACCTCAGCCTTCTGTCAGAGTTCTTTATATCAACATCACTTGCTACTTTTCTGTTCCGACTTAGTGTTTTTTAGGAAAACGAGTCACAAATGTAGCTTTGAGTGTGTGAATGTGTACCGCCTCAATCCACGGTGTCGCCCCTCCGGTCCCCGTCGCGTGCAGGAGCTGGGCGATTGCTGCCTCTGCTCGTTTGTGTTCAGTGCTGGCCAGAGTCTCATCATATCGAGCCTCCTCCTCCGCTGGCTCGACGGCTCGGACGCGCTCTTCAGGTGAGACGCGTGCCTCCTCCCTCGCTCTGCCGCCAACCTCGCAGTCCACTGCGGGGCTCCCGCGCTACCGCTAAGCACGCGCTTGCGTGGGTGAGTGAAGGGTGAGTGGTGTGTGTGGGTGAGTGAAGGGTGAGTGGGGTGTGTGGGTGAGCGAAAGGTGAGTGGTGTGTGTGGGTGAGTGAGTGATGGGTGAGCGGTGTGTGTGGGTGAGTGATGGGTGAGCGGTGTGTGTGGGTGAGTGAAGGGTGAGCGGTGTGTGTGGGTGAGCGAAGGGTGAGCGGTGTGTGTGGGTGAGTTATGGGTGAGTGGTGTGTGTGGGTGAGTGATGGGTGAGTGGTGTGTGTGGGTGAGTGAAGGGTGTGTGGTGTGTGTGGGTGAGTGATGGGTGAGTGGTGTGTGTGGGTGAGTGATGGGTGAGTGGTGTGTGTGGGTGAGCGAAAGGTGAGTGGTGTGTGTGGGTGAGTGATGGGTCAGCGGTGTGTGTGGGTGAGTGATGGGTGAGCGGTGTGTGTGGGTGAGTGAAGGGTGAGTAGGGTGTGTGGGTGAGTGAAGGGTGAGCGGTGTGTGTGGGTGAGCGAAAGGTGAGTGGTGTGTGTGGGTGAGTGATGGGTCAGCGGTGTGTGTGGGTGAGTGATGGGTGAGCGGTGTGTGTGGGTGAGTGAAGGGTGAGCGGTGTGTGTGGGTGAGCGAAGGGTGAGCGGTGTGTGTGGGTGAGTGATGGGTGAGTGGTGTGTGTGGGTGAGTGATGGGTGAGTGGTGTGTGTGGGTGAGTGATGGGTGAGTGGTGTGTGTGGGTGAGTGATGGGTGAGTGGTGTGTGTGGGTGAGCAAAGGGTGAGCGGTGTGTGTGGGTGAGCGAAGGGTGAGTGGTGTGTGTGGGTGAGTGATGGGTGAGTGGTGTGTGTGGGTGAGTGAAGGAATGTGCGGTGTGTGTGGGTGAGTGATAGGTGAGTGGTGTGTGTGGGTGAGTGATGGGTGAGTGGTGTGTGTGGGTGAGTGAAGGGTGAGTGGTGTGTGTGGGTGAGCGAAGGGTGAGTGGTGTGTGTGGGTGAGCGATGGGTGAGTGGTGTATATGGGTGAGTGAAGGAATGTGCGTTGTGTGTGGGTGAGCGAAGGGTGAGCGGTGTATGTGGGTGAGCGAACGATGAGTTGCTTACTACAGAGCATGACCGCCGCTATTGCCGATGCCTTCCCCAGCGTGGCGCCGTTCAGTGCCACGTGGCACGGGTTTGCCTGTGCACTGGGCTCCCTCTCGCCGGCGTGCGAGGCGGTGAAGTCGCGCGGAGCGTACGTGGCGCGTCTCTCCAGCGACGGGCACGTGCTCGCCATCGCCGTCAACCAGAGGCACCCTCAGGTCAGCGCCGGGCTGCCAGTCACCGCTTCTTCATCATCCTCCACTTTGTCACCATCGTCATCGTCGGCAGTGATCTGTCCACTGCTGGATCTTGCGCTCAGCTACAATATTTGTGTAGACGCACACGTGTGTGTAGTTCTGTGCTTGAAAGCATGTGTGTATGTGTATAAGCTGAACCATTCCTCGGCCTTCCCTAGGTCAACTCAGCCTCAAATGAGTACCTTGTACGGTGTGTAAACATCACCACCCGGCCAAACGTGGTGCTGGCCACCCACCCCCTGATGTGTCGTGCCGGCCTTCATAGATGCTCGCTAACAGCACTTGCCACAACAGCCTGTTAAGGCTGTATGGGGGATCTTGTCTTTGTATAAGGTGCACCTAGCATGGTACCAGTGCCGTGGTGACGTCACTTTGGTTGTCTTGTTGTATACGTGTGTGTGTGTATGTCTGTGCATGTGCTTGAGTGCCTCATGTCTTCTATTAACATTTGCCCTCTCAATCGCTTAAGTACCATGTACTTTGCTAATCAGATCAAGGGCTCCTGAAATGGGCTCTAATATCTCATTCAAAGCAGTTAGCTCACCGGCGTGTTGCAGATCACTTCACTTGCAGCTGCATTTAACTCTTATATCCTTTTTCGATTTAAAGCTTTCGTGACTGCAGGGATTCATCTTCTTGTTTTTTTTCGGTAAAGTCACGTAGAAGGGAAGTAATAAAATAATAAAAATAAAACATAATAAAATAATTCTCACGACGTTTCGGCTACAACGCAAGCAGCCGTCTTCAGGTGAAGAATGAGACACTGCCAAGCTAGGAGCTTATATATAAGCTGGGTTGGAGGTGGAAGAAGAGCGCCTTAACAAAAGAATGTGCATATCAAGAGGAATATAGCATGAATATGCATGAATTTGCTAAATTCCTCTTGATATGCACATCATTTTGGTAAGGCGCTCTTCTTTCACCTCCAACTCAGCTTATATATAAGCTCCTAGCTTGGCAGTGTCTCATTCTTCACCTGAAGACGGCTGCTTGCATTGTAGCCGAAACGTCGTGAGAATTATTTTATTATGTTTTATTTTTATTATTTTATTACTTCCCTTCTACGTGACTTTACCGAAAAAACCAAAAAGATCGTATATCCTTCTTCTCGTATATCCATCTTCTTGGTTCTTTCGGTAAAGTCACGTGACTTTACCGAAAGAACCAAGAAGATGAATCCCTGCAGTCACGAAAGCTTTAAATCGAAATCGTATATCCTTGCCTATTTCCATTTTATACGAAAGTCACCCAATATCCGTTTCATGTTTATGTAACATAATTGTAATTGTATTATGATCGGTCAATACAAATCCATCCTGGCCAACTTGCGCTCAAGGGAATATTTTATTTGACATCGATCTACGTTTGTCCAATATTTTTTCCATTTGTTCGAATTTCTATTTGCTTGATTTCCTGTACTTGCATAGTTTTTTTCTTCTTCCATTTTGATGACCCCAGGTCACTCATTCTTGCAAATGAGACTCTGTCCCAGCCTTCCGTGGCCTCACCCGTTTAAACAAAATCAACTTGAATCGTAAAATTTCATATTCTTTGGTTCTTTCGGTAAAGTCACGTAGGTATTAAATAAAATAAATCACGACGTTTCGGGCGCAACACAAGCGTCCATCATCAGGTGGGAAAGCACGGTCTGCTGCTGAGGCAGACTGTTTTAAAGGTTTTGAAATAGATGTAGCTCAACAGTGTGGATTCCTGCAGTCACGAAAGCTTCAAACCAAGACCGTAAAACCTCGTCCGTGCCACGCAGGCCACCCAGGTGCTGTTCACGTCTGCGACGGGCGGCGTCTCGGTGTCCTCCCACCTGCAGGGCTGCGGCTTCCGTGGCCCCACCCTGCTGCCCAAGTTCATCAGGTGCGGTGCTGCCCGCCCGCCCGCCCGCCCTGAGCCGCCGAGACGCCAGCTCGCGTCCCGCGTCCGCCGTTGACTTCACCGTGGAACGGGAATACGGCCGGGAGGGTCGACACGGAGGGTGGGCGGGCGGGCGGGCGGGCGGGCGGACACTCGGAGCGTTGGATCGGGAGGGGTTGATCCGGCAGGGGTTGATCCGGCAGGGGTTGAGGGTTAATGCTGTGAGGGTTGACATCGGAGAGTGGGGCCGGGGCAGGGTCAAAGAGCGTGGGTTGACATAGGAACGATTGGCACAGTGAAGGTGGGGGTCAACCGTATGAACTGACGCTGTGACGATCGACCGTGAGAGTCGGTGAAGATGGACTCACAGCAGGTTGACCGCGGGCGCCCGCTGGTCATGCTAGGTGGGCGACGCGAGCTGTTAACTCCTCACCGGATGTCGGATGTCGCATTGAGGGATTGCAACAATTTACAGGGATGGCATTAACAATTTGATATCCAGTTGGCCAGTTTCAGGAGGATGCAGGAGCGATTTTCGGAGATGTATGTACGTCAAACTTCTTTTGCACAGTGCTAATCAGAGGTGAGGGGGGGAAGGACAACAAACCACTAAAAGCAATTGTAAAAGAAATGAGTTTTCTATCTGGATTTAAAATTGCATAGCTCCAGTGGCTTCCTAATATCGGAAGGAAGAGCTGTTTGCGGAGAATGAGAAATGGTGGGATAGGTGCTCGCCACGACGCCTCCCCGTGACGCCTTCCCGTGCCGCCCCTCGCCGCAGGTCGTACTGGGTGAGCGACGCGAGCTGGCTGAGCGGGGACGCGCTGCTCGCGTGCATGCTCAAGCGCGGCGCTCTGCTTCTCGTGTCTCGCCTCGGGGAGCCCCTCACGCTGTCCACGCACGGCTGCTCGGTGGAGTTCGGTCCGGCCCTCTTCATCCCTCTCCACCCCCTCGTCACGTACAGGTGAGGTCTAAATCGTCATCGGCCGTGATGATCCAAACATCGCCATTTATCAAGGGGCCTGTGATGCAGCACTCCTTACCAATGCAGGGCTGCTCGATGGATAACTGAGGCCTACCACTGCAAAGGGGATATTTTGATTCTAGATTTGAAGCTTTCGTGACTGCAAGGATTCATATTCTTAGGTTTTTTCGGTAAAGTCACGTAGGTAAAAATTAAAATTAATAAAAGTAAAATATTTTTTTTTTTTTAAATCACGACGTTTCGGAGGCAACACAAGCTTCCACCTGAAGACGGAAGCTTGTGTTGCCTCCGAAACGTCGTGATTTTTTATTTTTATTTTACTTTTATTAATTTTAATTTTTTACCTACGTGACTTTACCGAAAAAAACCTAAGGGATATTTTCAACCTGGGAAAGCTGTGTTTCTGGCTTTATTCCACGAAGTCACTTCTGTCACTCTATGTAGGCTGTGGATTTCACTGTCAGCCTCTGGGTTTCTCTGAAGTCGATGGTTCCCTTTATATCAAACTGAGACCAACCTCTCGCAACACTCGAGAACCCAATGATGGGCACCTGAACCCTGGATATGAACCCAGGATCTCGGTAGCTCTCAGTGGTGCCGGCTCGGCATCTCTGACACCTGGACCACTCCACTCTCTCCGTCCCTCCCCTCCCCGCACGTGACAGCGCCAGTGGCAGCGCCGACGCGATGGCGTCGCACGGCTCGGCCGCCTCCGAGGCGGACGCCTTGCGCCAGCGGTTCTCCGTGAGCGCGCACCCCCGGCTGCCCTTCCTGCTCGCCTCCGATGGTACGGGCGCCGTCTCTCTCTACCTCTCCTGCACGCACTCTCCCGCCTCGCCCCACTCATCTCGGGGTACATGTTGATGGTGATGCGTTTGGGCGCTGAGCGGTGAGCTGTGTGGTGTGCCCCAGGGTACGTGGTGACGGGATGCGTTTGTGCGCTGAGCGGTGAGCCGTGTGGTGTGTCGCAGGGTACGTGGTGATGGTGATGCGTTTGGGCGCTGAGCGGTGAAGCCGTGTGATGTGCCTCAGGGTACGTGGTGACGGTGATGCGTTTGGGCGGCGAGCTGGCGCCGGCGAGGCTGGTGCAGGCTGCGCTGGAGGACGTCCACCGCACGCTAGAGGACGTCCGCATCGGCCTGGCGGCATCGCGGGTGCGGCGCCCTCACCGGGCACGCTGCAGTGACATTCACCAGGCTCGCCGCAGATAGACGCACTCACCAGATCGACGCACCCACTCTTGAGCAGGCTTTCACCCGGCAGCGGATAGAGCGTGGCTAACGGTGACGACGATGCCTCCGACAGCTTCCTGGCGAGGCGGTGCTGCTACGGAGCCTGTCGGTGCTGGGCGCGCCGCCCCCCGATGAGACGGTGACGGTGGACGCCACGACGGCGCCACCGCCGCTACCGCCGCCCCCCTTTCTGCAGCAAGACCCCGACGAGTGGTCCTGTGGGGGCCACCGAGCTCTGCAGGTGAGCGGCCCCCCCCCCACCCCGCCACCAAACTACGACCCGCTTCGCTAGCTCAGCGCCCTCTCCGTTTTGAATCGATCGTGTCTCTAAATAATAATGATTATGATAATTGGTTATTGTTAAGTACAAAGCCAAAGCGATTTCCTGCTGCTCAAACGGGCACTGAGGCATTGGTGCTCATCTCCCGTATACAGCCCTTGGCCAGCAGTGTAAATTACACATTCATATGGCGGGGACAAGCATATCCATAGGACAACCACTGTTGATTTCCCCACAAAGTGGTACCGATATTGTCGATCGTGGAGGGATGATGGGCTTCGAGGGCGTTTCTCGGGGGTTTCCCACCTTCAGGAGGCAGGATGTAGGGGCAACCGCTATTACTGGTAGGAACGAAGTGGACCAGACACCAATAGATTATGTCATCCGTCCGTTTGTCCATTTGTCCGTCTGTCCGTCCGTGTATCAACATCGCCCCCTACTGCAAACACTTGGCATGACCCTACAAAAACCTTTAGACTCAGTGACGCTATCCTGGCTAAACAAGTGTAACATTCCCTTATAATTCCCTCAGATAGCTTTTAATTGAAACATTTAAATTAATGAGGCTTTCTTGGCTAAACAAGTGTAATAATACATTATGTTTATATTCTTTGGTTATTCGTTCCTACCAGCCCACCCCGCAGGGTCCTGTTTCTCAAGGGGCCCTATTATATTAGTGAATCACAAAGGAAGTAGCCGATGACGATCCACAAGTTTTCGCGCCTCGATAAACGTCTCCCCGGCTCTCCTATTAACACTGTCCGCCGGTCGCTAGGGCGACGACCTCTACGACGACCTTTCGGACGAAGAGGAAGGGGGGGCGGGGGATGCGGGAGGAGGGGGGGGCCCCGACCCCCACCCGTACGTGCGCATGGAGCACGGCCGCGTGGAGTTTGCGGGGATGCACGAGGAATCCCGGACCGCCGAGGGGGAGACGGAGCTGACGGCGGCGGGCGGCACCATCGCGGGCGGCGCGGATCTCTCGGCCCGGCTCTCGTTCGCTCAGCGCCGGCTGCTCGTCGCGTGGCACCTGCTGCTCACTCTCAGGTGAGGGGGGGCGCTTTCTCCGGGCAGTTTGCGATTAGCAGACACGTTGGTGACACTCTCACTTGATCGATGAAGTGTGGACGTGTGGGTGTGTACGGTAGCGCCGCGGTTAGCGTACTGCGCTTCAATTGGTCAGGCCGCACTCACCGGCGTGGCGATTAAGTCAGCTCCTGTCTGATATACAGATCCCTGTAAATAATCAAAATTATATCTATCTTTTTTTATTAAACATACACGTCAACAAAATCTCCCGCATGTCTTTGTCTCTGCACCGCGCTGTCCAGGGATGTCGACTTCTGGGACACCTGGATGACCTTCACCGTAAAGTGCGTGGCCCGCCTGTCGGTGCTGCTGCAGTTCTTCGATTGGCCCCGCGGCAGCGCCGGCCCCGCCGGCAAAGCCGCGTCGCGCTCCGTGCGCCGCGACCCCTGGCCCTTCGCGGTGCTGCAGCTCTTCCGGCGCTGCGCACTGGTGCTCTGCTGGCCCGGCGAGCCCCTACCCCTCCACTGCAGTCACCGCCGGCGCCGGCACCGCCGGGCCCTTCCGTACGGCGCTCGGCTGAGCCTGGAGGTGGCGACGGCGCTGCTGGGCGGGCGCGCTGACACCGGCGACACTCGCGCGCACCTGCGGTCGCTGCTCGCCGCTCTTTCCTTGCTGTCCTTCGCCGAGGCGTGGCTCGACCGCGCGTGCGGGCTGGTGCTGGCACCGGCGCCAGATCCGCCGGTCCAACCGCCGCTCCCAGAACCGTGCCTTGCGTCGCCGGTAGAGCCTCCCGGCGAGGACGACGATGAGGCGCCGGCAGAGGTGGCGTTGGAAGAAGCGATGGCAGATTCCGTACGAGAGGGGCTTGGCACTGGCGCGGAGCTCTACGCCTTGTGCCATGCACCGGCAGCGGCAGACCGGCGGGTGGCGCCGACTCTATCCGGGCGGGTCGCGGTGGTGGGGCCGGAGTGGCTCAGGTCCGTCCTGCACCTCCCCGCACGCAGCGCCGGCAGAGAGAGTAGCCGGCCGGCACACAGGTGCGTAGCGGGAAGATCCGGTTAGCAATGGCTGAGCGACGTGGCGGCTGCCTTTCCGCGTGGCTGTGTGTCTCTGTGTCTGCGTGTCTCTGTGTCTGCGTGTCTCTGTGTCTGCGTGTCTCTGTGTCTGCGTGTCTCTATTTGTGTGTCTCTGTGTCTGCGTGTCTCTGTGTCTGCGTGTCTCTGTGTCTGCGTGTCTCTGTGTCTGCGTGTCTCTGTGTCTGCGTGTCTCTATTTATGTTTTTCTGTGTCTGCGTGTCTCTGTGTCTGCGTGTCTCTATTTGTGTGTCTCTGTGTCTGCGTGTCTCTGTGTCTGCGTGTCTCTGTGTCTGCGTGTCTCAATTTGTGTGTCTCTGTCTCTGTGTCTGTGTGTCTCTGTGTCTGCGTGTCTCTGTGTCTGCGTGTCTCTGTGTCTGTGTGTCTCTATTTGTGTGTCTCCGTGGCTGCGTGTCTCTGTGTCTGCGTGTCTTCTAGTACTTCTGAAGTTGTTTCAATCGAGTCTTTGACCACATAAGGAAAAATATAAATAATATTCACGAGAAATCAACAACTCTGTTTCTCTAGACAGGGGCGGTAGCTGTGACGCAGTGGCTGAGCCACTGCCCTATGAATCCCATGCCTTGAATTCCAGCCCTGGCCACGGCTAATATCAGTGGCGGAGAGTGATGTTCGGATCAGTCCTCCCCACCTTTTACCCTTCCACACTTCCTTTACCCACCCAGTTCTTGCACGGTTAAACAATTTGCACTGAACACGTTGGCTTTTCTGCGGCCATCATTATGATTCGTAATAGATTCCTTGGTTAGGCCACGTACGTGATCTTGACACATTTTTGTCGTTCAAACCATCCACCACCTGATAGCCAAACGAATTAAATTGTCACATTTACCAGCATCGGACATGGCAATTATTCTTAATAATTCGTAATGCTTATCATTTCAGCTCACTCACCAGTAAATTGAAGAATATATCTCACGACCGCATGAATTTCCCGATTTTAATTCTGACTTCCCAGGGCTGCCTGTAAGAAAACCACCGATACAGGGCAGGCTCAGGGTGTAAATGTTTGTATTAAAATATTTGACGCGGAAAATCCCTTCAGAGAGGTATTAACATCTCGTTTGCAAGTGCGACAGGAGCCGGTTTAAAATTCTCGGGTACCCTCTGCAATTACGTGTTCCTGACAGTACTTTCCCGCCGGATTCATCGCGGGTGTCCGCGCCTCTCGCTCTCTGTGCGCGTCCAGGCTCGTCGCCTGCTGGAGGCTGCTGTACAGACACGTTTTGCAGTTCCAGCAGCAGCTGCAGCTGCAGCGGCGGCACGGTGCTGATGACTGTGACGACGGGGCCGCCCAGGAGCGGCTGGTGGCCTCGCGTATCGCTGCGGCGGTGCAGGCGCGCCTGCAGTGCGTGGACGGGAGCTTTCCACGGCAGAGACCGTTGCTTGATATCACCGGTGCGTTTACTGTGCCGGGCCGGCGATGACATCGAAAGCAGCGATGGCATCGTCGTTATCATGATCATCGGCACCACCGATAGCACAGCTTGATTACAGCTTTCCACCATCTTGCTCATCGGTAGCAGCACCATCACCACTGCCATCATTGTCAGCAGTGGCATCGCTACCACCATGCCCGTTATAATAGGTATCAATATAATTCGCAGCAATTTCCACCACTAAACCCACCACCATCATCATCAGCAGCATGATCACTATTACTACCATTACTTGTACCACCTCCACCAGCTTGATAGTTTTTTAATCTCGATTGAAATCTCATTTCTTGAGAACTGCTTTTTGTGTTTAGTTTGTTGTCCTTCCCCTGCACCTCCGATTAGCATGGTTGACTACTTGTGTGTTACCCAGCCGGGAGCGGTATTGTTGTGGCGAGTGCACTTCGCAATGAAACCCAGCATGTCTGTGTTAGCCGTGTCGGTGTGTGTGTGCGCCACCTGTGTGTGAGTTGCCTGTGTTAGCTCTTGGGGGCATCTGTGTGTTTGTCGCGCAGGAGAGGAACTTTACCTGAGCGGCTCATACCACGAGGCAGTGCACACCTGGCGGAGGGCGGTGCTGGAAGACACCGACTCAGGTACGGAACTGGAGCCGCGGCCGTCTGGCCTGCGGCTTGGCGATCGTGAGCACCCTTGTGCGGGATCGGTGACGGCTGATGTGCACCAAACTGTCACCGCCACGGCGAGTCGCATCACGGCAGAGGTCGCAAACGGGTTTTGATTCCTTACCCGTACCCGTACCCGGCCGCACCAGGGTCGCAAATGGGTACCCGTAACCATACCCTACCTGATACCCGGCTACCCGTACCCAGCCGGGTATCGGGTAGGGTACGGGTATCGGGTACCCGATTGCGACCTCTGGGATGAAGCCTTGTTGCAGGCGCGGGTGGGTTGATTCTAGGAACTTGAATTGTGAGAAGAGACAAGACGTTGGGAAATGAGTGACAAACGGTGACTCACCAGTGACTCACGGCCTACCCGTACCCGTACCCGGCCGCACCAGGGTCGCAAACGGGTACCCGAAACCCGGCCGGGTACGGGTAGCCGGGTACCTGATTGCGACCTCTGCATCACGGCGAGTGGCATTGCGGTGTAAACGGTGGCGATGGTTTTGCGGCAGGGGGGAGGCGTGGCGCTCACCTACAGACGCGGCACTGCCTGGCGCTGCTTTACGCTCACCTGCACGCGCTCCACCTGCTCCCCGCACTCTGCCTGTGCGACCGCATGGCCGCACGCCTCCTGCAACCGCACACCGACACAGGTGACTCGCACACATCCGAGACACATCCGAGACACATACAAAGATGAAGATCTCCTGTGTAGCTTTGAGAGCCTGTTGTGGTGAGTGCTGTTAGCACGGTGAAGGCGCTGTGGTCCGCGTCGCTAACCGCCGCCTCGTGCCGCTCGCTTCGCCCGCAGCGCCGGGGATTTGTGAGCGGGCGGCGCTGGCTGTGGTTCGCTCCATGGGCCGGTTCATGGCGGCATACTTCACCAACCGTGCACTCTACGTGTTCCCACCGCACAGCGTGCAGACGCTGCCGCCGCTGCACACGACGGCAGGTACGGGCCTGCGGCAAACACCCTGTCCGTCGCTCTTCACAATTCGGAGCAATCGTGCGTAATGTACTTAGCGCAGTGGGTACCGAGCGGAGTGGTGACGCTGCAGATGCTGAAAATGTCAGTGATTTTGATGATTGATGATGGTGAGACGATGATAACCATGATGATGATAAGAATGCGAGTCATTCCGGTGCGAGAGTGCGTGTGCTGATGCTGCTACTGGTGATTCTGCTGCTCATGCTGCTGCTGCTGCTGCTGATGGTCGCTTGTACCGTCGGCAGCTCCGCCCCAGCGGTGGCGCTTGCTGCCGGTGAGCCGCGCCGGCGTGAGCGCGAGCGCCCGGGCCCAGCGCGTGTCGTCGGCCTGGAGCCCCGAGTACGCGCTGGAGCTGCTGCTCGTGGCGGGGCTCCACGCGGAGGCCGTGTGGCTCGCGCGCACGCTCGGCGACTGGAAGACGGCGGTGGCCGTCGGCCTGGCGTACCGCTCGCACGACCACCACCACCAAAACCGCCACCTCCACCGGCGCCGCCACAACCGCAGTCTAGCTGGCGCCGATCCCGCGGGGTGAGTTGAGTTCGGGTTGCTAATCTTAACGCACGAGTCTCTCCTCGTGCGTTCGATTTTTTTTGGTTCGTTTGGCTGTTGGCATTGTGGTGACCCAGGTCACTTGATTACTTGATACAGCAATCGTGCTGTGACGGTTCCACCTGAAGCTTGTGTTGCCTCCGAAACGTCGTGATTTTTTATTTTACTTTTATTTATTTATTTACCTACGTGACTTTACCGAAAAAAACCTAAGAGTGTGACCCAGGTCACTCACTCTTGCAAATGAGACAGAATCAACTTGAAACCCGAAACTCGGTTCGATGAATAGTGACGGATTTTTTAATGCTTTCCAACTAATGCTGAAATCATTAATGCATTAACTCTGCCCACCCGTCCGTCCGTGTCTGTCACAAGTCGTAAAGATGATCCAAACAACATTGTGGAGATGGCCTTTGCAGTGAGGCCCCTTGTCGTCCATTTGATCTCCTAGGCCACCGCGGGTGTCGCTGCAACTCCCCGACGAGCTCCGACCCGCAAGGATCTTGCAGGAGAAGCTGCAGGCGCTGCTGCAGACGCCTTTAACGGCGCCGCAGATGGACCCGGACGGAGCTCGGGCGGCCGATGTAACAGCCGGCACCGCGTCCGGTAAGCACCGCATCGGCGGCGGCGGTGGTGGTTTCTGTCCGCGGGGCTGGTGGTCGAAATGGAAAAGTCTGCGCCACCACTCCCCCGGTGATGATGTCGAGCAGGAAGGCAGTAGCAGCCACACAATGAGTCAGTGCCGACACTTGCCACGGTTCCGGGGTCCTCTATACATTAAGTTGGAATCGGTCAATTAATGAGTTCACGTGGGAGGAAACCAGACCACCTGGAGAAAACCCACACATGTGAGCGGTACATGTGACTCTATAGGTATTGGTAGATGTCTCTGTACATGTGACAGTACGTGTGACGGTACGGGTGTTGGTAGGTGTCTCTGTACATGTGACGGTACGTGTGACGGTACGGGTATTGGTAGGTGTCTCTGTACATGTGATGGTACACGGAATGGTAGATGTCTTTGTACATGTGACGGTACACGTAATGGTAGATATCACTGTACATGTGCCACTGGCGGTTGCGGGGGGCGCGGTGAACCTTCACACACCTACCGCTCGCAGACTCCGCCGCCGCCGCCGACGAGGAGGGAGAGGACGATGCCCCGGACGCCCTGCTCGCCGCGCTGCGCGAGATGCTGCACGCGGCCGCCATGGCCGGGGTGGACGCGCTGGGCCCCGCGCTCGCCGGCGCCGTGGGGGCGGCCCGGGAGCGCGCCGGGGGCGGCTGCCTTGCCGGGCTGGTGCCGCCGGGCCTCTACCTGCCGGCGCCGCCGCTGTACTGCCCGCAGCTCGGCGTGGAGCTGCAGGTGCTTGCGCTGGGGCCGGGGCCGCGTTGGCAGTGGGTGCACACGGCAACGGAGAGCAGATGGTCGGCATCCGCGCAAAAGGGCCGTTGCTCAAAACGACGCCTGTTATTTGCTGTTGTATTTATTTATTATTCCACATTGTTCGTATTATTTTTATTATTTTACCTATCTATCAAATATCGACTATTTATTTATAATTGTATTTATTTAGTATTTGATTTCTTATTTAACCATTTTATTTATTTATTATATAGTATAATGTTATTTATTTAGTATCCGATCTATTTATTTATTTATCATTATATTTATCTGCTATTTTATTCATGTTATTTATTTATTATTTTATCTATCTATTATTTCATCTATCTATTATTTTATTAGTTTTGTTTATTATTTTATTTTACGCCTGTTATTTTTTTTTTCCTTTTAATCCCACAGTGTTATTGACGAGCATGGCGACCGTTATTGTCCACCCCACCGTATATTGATTCAGCCGCACATTCCACTATCCGGCCACACGCTCCACTGAAAACTCGTGAGATACACCGATCGCGTCCTACTAAGCGTCACCGTGCTCCGGGCTCCGACCCTGAGATGACCTCTGGGCTGTGATCCACACGGCACGCAGGCTCCGGAGTTCGCTGCTCTTGGAGGTCGGGAACTGACACGGTCGATAGAGAGTTCTGAGTCCCGGCTGAAGACCCCACTGGCTGTTTAACGCAGCGGCTCCTCTCTCTCTCCAGTTCTGTGTCGTTTCACCTCGGTCTATCTCCGGCTACTTCTCACTCATCCCTTCCTCCTTTGTAAGCATGCTGCTCTGAGATCCATTGTTTAACGGGGCCGTATAAATCTCCAAACTATTGCTACTCGGTATTTATTTTTCTGGAAGTGGAGAGTAAAAAAAAAGCAATTGTTGAAATGATGTCCAGCGTTCCGACCCCGGGGGTCACGGTCACACGGGGGCCAGAGGTCGCAACCGGGTACCCGATACCCGTACCCTACCCGATACCCAGCTACCCGTACCCAGCCGGGTACGGGTAGCCGTTTGCGACCCTGGTGCGGCCGGGTACGGGTAGGCCGTGAGGCACTCGTGAGTAACCGTTTGTCACTCATTTCGGGTAGGGTACGGGTAAGGAATCAAAACCCGTTCGCGACCTCTGACGGGGGCTAACGTGCGGTGCGGTGGTGCGCAGGAGGGTGACGACGCGGCGCTGGCGCAGGAGAAGCGCTCCCGGCACGGCGCGTCGAGCGCGCTGCAGCGGGCGCTGGCGCTGCTGCGCGCGTCGCGCTGCTCCCTCCCCGCCGCGCAGTGGTACATCCGCCGCCTGCAGAGAGTGCGGCGCACCGTGGGCAAGGTCCGCTGCCGCCTGAGAGAGAGGGAGAGAGTGTGTGTGTGCTGCGGTGTGGGTGGGGTGCGGTGCCCGGGAGAGGGTGGTGTGGTGCGGACAGTTTGCGGTGTATGAGCGCGAGCGAGAGAGCGAGCGGTGCGATGTGGACACGGTGCGGTGCTCTGTGATTGCTGTGCCTGCACCGGCAGCAGCAGCAGTAACAGCGTTGTCGTCATCGTCTTTAACATCAGCAGTAGCGGCGTCATTGTCGTCGTCGTCATCGTCGTCATCGTCGTCATCGTCGTCATCGTCGTCGTCATGGTCGTCATCATTGCCATCGTCGTCATCGTCTTCATCGTCGTCATCGTCGTCATCGTCTTCATCATCGTTATCGTCGTCATGGTCGTCGTCATCATCTTCATCGTCGTCATCGTCGTCATGGTCGTCATGGTCGTCATCGTCGTCATGGTCGCCATCGTCGTCATCGTCTCGTCTATTGCCGTGCGTTCTCCCCTGATAGATCCGTGCCAAGGAGGGGCGGCCGCCCCCCAAGCCGCTGCCCCCCTCCCTGCTGGCGTACACGAGGATGCGGGGAGTCGCGCTCGAGCGAGCCGGGGCCGAGGGGCAAGGCACGACGGCGCGCGTTCTTGGTAACGGTTCTCGCAGTCACCGACTATTTGATTCGTCGGGGGTCAAGGGTCGGGATCGTGGTTTTGGGGACACGATTTTGGGGTCACGATTTTTGCGACACTGCGTGTTGCTCTTAACGGTTCCTCCTCTCGATGTGATTCGATCGATTCATATTCTTAGGTTTTTCCGGTAAAGTCACGTAGATAAAAAATTAAAATTAATAAAAGTAGAATAAAAATAAAATAAAAATCACGACGTTTCGGAGGCAACACAAGTGGTACAGCTGTCGTGCTGTGACGGTTCCACCTGAAGACGGAAGCTTGTGTTGCTTCCGAAACGTCGTGATTTTTATTTTTATTTTACTTTAATTTTAATTTTTTACCTACGTGACTTTACCGAAAAAACCTAAGAATATGAATCCTTGCAGTCACGAAAGCTTCAAATCTAGAATTCGATCGATTCTTAGAATCACGATTCGATTCGCAAATAGATCCGCAGTTTTCTTTCTCCTGTGGTGCGTGTAAGGATGTATTATAGTGGCATCGTCAAGTCAAGTTCATTTGTTTAACCAGGCGAGAACTCTAGAGATAAGGATGAAAAGCAGTAACATGAAAACAAGCGCAACAACGGAGAAAATAGAAATTGGAGCAATACCAACTGCATCACAGTCGTGTGAATTTGCAAAATCTGTAAAAGCTTATTAATTTTTTTAATGGAATGTTGGACTTTAACCTGGCCATGTGGCTCAGTGGTAGAGTGAGCGGCTCACAATCGGAAGGTTCCGAGTTCAGATCCTGGCTGGGGATCGATGAAACGAGTGCCATGTTGTGGGGAAGTCAAAAGTTGCTGGCCTACGGATGGATCTGTCCCGCCATAGGAATGTAGAATTTCCACCACTGGCTCTGCAGGGCTGTGAACAGAAGATGAACGCTCATGCCTCAATGCTCATTTGAGCAGGGAATCACTTGGACGTTGACTTTCACCCAGAGGTCGCAATCGGGTACCCGATATCCGTACCCTACCCGATACCCGGCTACCCGTACCCGGCTGGGTACGGGTACCTGTTTGCGACCCTGGTGTGGACGGGTACGGGTAGCCGGGTAGGCCGTGAGTCACTGGTGAGTCACCGTTTGTCACTCATTTCCCAACGTCTTGTCTCTTCTCACAATTCAAGTTCCTAGAATCAACCGACCCGCGCCTGCAACATGGCTTCATCCTAGAGGTCGCAATTGGGTACCCGATACCCGTACCCTACCCAATACCCGGCCGGGTACGGGTAGGGTACGGGTACCGGTACCCGGTTGTGACCCTGGGTGCGGCCGGGTATGGGTACGGGTAAGGAATCAAAACCCGTTTGCGACCTCTGCTTTCACCTGAGCCGTGATCCCCTCCGTATCCCCGGCCCTGTGTGCGTGCGTGCGTCACATGACCCAGGTTGCTTCCGTGAGCTCTGTGCCCTCTGCTTCCTGCTGCACATGCGCGACCGCCTCTCCGAGTGCTGCCGCAAGTACCAGGCGGCGCACGACAGCCTGCACAGCGTGCAGGTAGCACCACCAGCACCACCACCACCACCACCACCACGCGGGCCGGTGACCTCCTCCCACTCAGCACCACCAGCCGCACGGCGCCATCGAGGCGTGGGGAGAGAGGCTCGCGGGACTGACCATCCTGTCGACCGTTCGTTCTGTAGTCGGAGAGGTCGTGTCGTGTCCATTGCCCGCTCGCGCCACTACTGGCGGAAAGGGCCTCCATGAGACCGGAGCCTTAGACAGCTGCTCTCTGTGCGGTACTTGGTCTACTCTTCCACGACGGCCAGACGTCTTGGAGGAGGTGGGCTTACCCACATTATTTTCCCACCACACGTCAGCTTACTGTGGTGCCGAACCCATTTCTACTGCTGGGTGGACAAGAGGCATCAGGGGGCATTTGAGAAACTCGCCCCCATTGCCTAAACTGTCGCCACGTCGGGAGGTGGAATCGAACCGGCGACCTCTGGATTGCCAGCGTGCTGACCGTTACAGCACGGCGTGTAACATCACGTTATTACAAAATGAAAAGAGTCGGGACGGAACAGTGAAATCACGATAACGTCCATATGGTGTGATAACTCCTCCCATGAATGCCCCAGCAATCTCAGCTGAGCCGCCGCGAGTTCTGTAAAGACGCACGTGAATTCCTGAATTCCCGCACGGCGATTAGTTTGACGAATTGTCGACATCGGGGGGGGGGGGGGGGGGTTGCGAGCGCGGGCAGCGCCATCTGAGCTCTCGCCGTTGTTGCCGCTCGCTCAGCAACAGCGCGGCTCGGTGTTCGCGTTCGACGGCGCGGTGACGGCGCAGTGCGAGGCGGTGTTGGCGTGGGCCTGCCGCCTGCTGCCCTTCGCACGCTTCCTGCACGCCGAGGAGATGCTGCAGGACCTCGTGCTCAGCCTCGTCGCAGAGCTGCCCCCCACACGACAGGTCCGGCACGGAGGGGGGTGGGCCGGGGGGGGGGGGGGTGGTGGGGGGGTGGTGCCAGGGAGGGGAGGGGTGGCGGGCAAGGGGAAGGGTGAGAGGGGAGCGGTTGGACGCGAGGAGCTGTGACGGAGAGGCAGGACACTTGCCAGCGCATTTGTCTACGGTGCTGTTCAACTGTAGTGCTCGCGCTTCTTGTTGCCGCTACCGCTGTGATGGCGCCAGATGGTGGAGATTCTGGCGCAGGCGTTCCCGGACGCGGAGGGGGTGCGCGTGCCGCTGCAGGACAAACACCGCTCGCTGCTCAAGCGCCTGCGCTTTGTCTACGTGCAGGGTACGGGGCGTGCAGCTCCTGCTGGTGGCCACACCACCACCACCACCACGAGCACAGCAGCTTGGGCTCCCACGCACCACACACACCACACCCACCACACAAACTACAGACAACACATCAGAGGTCGCAATCGGGTACCCGATACCCGTACCCTACCCGATACCCGGCTACCCGTACCCGGACGGGTACGGGTACGGGTAGCCGTTTGCGACCCTGGTGCGGCCGGGTACGGGTACGGGTAGGCCGTGAGTCACTGGTGAGTAACCGTTTGTCACTCCCAACGTCTTGACTCTTCTCACAATTCAAGTTCCTAGAATCAACCCACCCGCGCCTGCAACATGGCTTCATCCCAGAGGTCGCACTCAGGTACCCGATACCCGTACCTTACCCGTACCCGGCCGGGTACGGGTAGGGTATCCATTTGCGACCCTGGTGCAGCCGGGTACGGGTACGGGTAAGGAATTAAAACCCGTTTGCGACCTCTGCAACACATACACAACAACAACAACCACCATTCGCCACTAAGGGGCATTGACGTCACCAGGGTGCTTGTGCCAGGCTAAACACATACACTCACCACACACCACACACACCACATCTACGCTACACTGCATACAGAGTACACACACACCACACTCATGGCACACACTCCGCACATCTGTCCAAGCTGCTTTGTGCATCATCGTCATCATCATCATCATTATTATTATCATCGTTACGTATTGTGAAGTATTGTGATGACGATGACGACGATGACGATGATGGTTCTTGTCACCATTGTGCAGACGCAGGGGAGGGGTCGTCGGAGCAGCAGAGCGTGTCTCTGTGTCTGGACGAGCAGCAGGAACGCCGCGACCGCTTCCTGGCGCGCGTCGCACGCACCACGGGCCCCGTGCTCGCCCACATCTGGGAGCCCGCCGCCAATGACGACCACGGGGACGACGACGACGACGCCTCCGTGTCCGCCGCCAGGTTTCGTCCGCTGCTGCGCTCCGGTTCGGCCGACTCGGAGAGCGCCGGCAACGCGGACGAGCCGGCGGCGGCGGCGGCGGTGCTGGGGGCCCCGGATCCAGGCGCGAGCAGAAAGCGGCCGGCGGTTCGGTGCTTCTCCGATTCGCTGGTGCGGCACGGCGCCGTGCCGGGCGGGGGTTTGTCGGGGAGCAAGGCGCCGGCGTCGTCGTCGCCCTCGTCGGCCGGGGCGACGACGCCGGTGGCCGCGGCGGAGTCGTCGGGGAAGACGCCGGTGAGGAAGGGATTGTCGCTCGACGGGCGGGTGGGCGCCGCGGCGAGGAGGAGACGGGCGAGCGGTGGTGACAGCAAATCGCCGTTCCGCGATGAGTGGTCCGATCCCGGGAGCCGCGTTGCAGCCGGAAACGCCGGCACCGATCTGGCGCACGGCACTGGCACAGAGGGAGCGGCGGCGGCGGCATCGGCGTCGCTGCCGCCTGTCGGGAGCTGGGAGTTCGAGCTGGAGGACGACGAGTACCTGGACTTCCTCGACCTCTTCCTGGGCTACGTGCTCGAGCGTGACTTGGCGGGCGGCGCCGGGCAAGACGACGGGGCAGCCGACTCGGTGCCGCTGCTGGCGCCGTTCACCGAGCTGCTGCGGCGACGCGAGCTCACGTCGCTGGCGTTTGAGGCGCAGGCAATGCTGAAGCGCTGGGTGGAGCGGCAAGGCGGCGCCCACCGGCCGCTGGCGCGAACTAACAGCCTCCCGGCGGCGCGTGAGCGCAAGCGCGGCCGGGCGATCGCGGGGACCGGCGGCGCCACCGCCGCACCCGACGAGAAGCCTCCGTTTGAAGCCGGCACGCTCTACCCGGCGCTCGCCGGCCTCTACGCGGAGCTCCGTCCGGAGAGCGGCACGAGCGGGAACCGGTCTCGCGTGAGCCGGAGCGCGGACGCGGTTAAAGAACGTCCCGTACCGAGGGCAGCCGGCGCGACGGGGATCGGCCCGGAGGCACCGTTCGCGAGAGTCGGCCCCTTCGGCCCCCCGCCCTCGAAGCTCTTCGAGGGCGCGAGGAGTAAACCGGCGCCGCTCGCCGGTGAGACGGTGCGGGAGGCTCCGAGCGGTGGGCTCTTCTGGGCGCGGCGGCAGGCGCAGGCGGATGTAGGACGACTCCCGGCGGACGAGTCGGAGGGATCGTGGCTCGAGTTGAGCAGCGCTGGCGCTTGGGGACGCCACCCTCGGCTGACCGGTGGCGCCCACGCAGCGGGAAAGTCCCGTGAAGGAGCGGCCGGATCGCAGGAGGTGAGCGCTCGTGCCGAGCGATGCCCATGTCCGTTTAGAGGAGAATGCAACGCGGAGAACAGGTTCGGAAGGTTCCCCTGCTCGTAAGCGCTCGATGAGCAATAATATTGGGGGCGTTGGTGGCAGGATGGCCGCAGGCCCTGATGAGGCTGCGCGGCACAGATATCGGCTCGGTCGAACATTCGGCTAGACTCTTCCAGCTCCTGAATGTGCCCACGGTAAGCAGTGCACGCGAAAGAGAGAACAGGTGCTGGATCGGTCATCGGACAGCAAGGCGCACGGTACATCGGCGAGAGCGCTGGGCGAGATGACCTCGTTCTGCTCCCCCAAGATGCCCCCAGTAAGCGGGTCGTGCGTGGCATGAGCCTCACCTCGTTGCCTCGCCCACCCACCGCAGGTGAGGGAGAGGATGGCCAGCGCGGAGGGGAAGCTGCTGGAGTGGATGGTGCGCTGGGCTGATCGGCGCCGGCCCACGCCGGGACACCGCGCCAAAAGAGCGACCGGGGAAGGAGGGGACGGCGCGGTCATGAGGGTTCGCACGTCCACGGCGGCCCTCCTCACCAGCCTGTGGTTGCTGGAGCGCCGGCAGGGCCAGCGGGGCGCCCCCAGCCCTGGGCAGCAGGTACCGATGTCGCCCGCGCCGTCGTCACGGCCACGCGGCAGCGCGCAAGCCTCTCGCTCCGGAGGTTCGCAGTTGGAATCCGAACAGGCCCGTCGTTGGTTACGGCTGTGGTCGCGTGTTTTAGCAAACAGGAATACGCGCCGTCGAGCAAAACGGGTAGGACATTGTGTGCCAGCTTCAGGGTCCAAATTGTCAAATTCGACAAGTACCTGCAAATTAAATTTTGATTTAAAGCTTTCGTGACTGCAGGGATTCATCTTCTTGGTTCTTTCGGTAAAGTCACGTAGAAGGGAAATAATAAAATAATAAAAATAAAACGTAATAAAATAATTATTTTAAAATAATAAAAATAAATAAAACATAATAAAATAGCTGTATCAAGTAAAGAGAGAGGCGTTTCATGTTGGTGCGACAGGACACGGTGGTGGGGTCGGCGCGGGTGAAGGTGTCGCAGCGATCATCGGAGAAGGGGGGCAGCACGGACACCGGATACCACGGCTCCTCCGACACCCCGCCCCCTCCTCCCCGCACCACCGCCCAGCGCTCCAGGCTCGCTCGCCACAACTCGGCAGGGTGAGTAAGAAATCCACGGTATCCTCATGGTGCGCCGCACTGGACTTGCCAACACGTTGGCTGTGTTGCGGCCCTGTGCAGGCGGAGAGGGCTGTTGGATCACGCGCACTCGTGAAACTCGCGACCGGTGGGCGTCGAGGTCACCATCTCCCGGCTTGCCATCTTTATTCCATCTGTATGGGGATGGAGGTTTTCCCAACCTCGCACGCTTGGGTTTACTCCGCGCGTATCAACACTCGTCCGTGGTGTTGGAGAAACATCCCCGTATTGGACCCCACAGAGCTTGGGCAATTTCTGGCACCGGTATCTGGCAGCTTTCACCGCTCGTCTCTCGATTCCCGCACCTCTGATTCATTCCCTCTCTTGAGAGTGAGCGATCTGCGCGCGTTGCAAATTGCGCATCATCATCACGATTAACGATTATCATCGGCGTGGCGCCCACGAGGCCAGGCGCATCCTCTGTGGACCGGAGGCCCATTCGTCGTGGCCGTGCGGTGCGTGCGACCGTGCCCTTCCGCCCCTCGTTTGCGCCCTCCAGGCCGGTGCTGGGTCCTCGGACGCAAGTGGCGACGGTTCACCCGGCGCTGGGGGAGGAGGAGGAGGAGGACCTCGCGACTCCCATCGCTGGCGACGAGCTTGAGACGTCGGATTCGGACGTCGACGACGTGCGAGACTCGCGGGACGACGACGCCGATCGGCAGCTCGTACCACACGGTGACTCTGCCAGGGGCAGCTGCCAATTCAATCAATGAGCCAATTAACTAATGCAGTTGCCCATTGAATCGTTTGCGTACCGTGTCTTTGGGGTCGTCTCCACGCGTCCGGTGACCCAGAGGAATCCCGATGCCAGATGGTAGGATCCATTTAGGGTAGATCTATGGGGTCTTTGTGAGTTTGTGAGTCTCTGTGTGATTCAAAGAGAAAATGTCGGGGGACTGTCGGGGCAGAACTTGGAGTCTGCAGTCGATACCACATTGGGAAGTGGGTTTAAAATTGAGTTGCAAGATTTGAGGATACGACAACAACAACAACAGACAGACAGAGTGAGTTAAATAAAAGCGTGTAAAATATCGGTTTTGAATGTCATACAACAAGCATTACTCTCAAGTGAGTGGGAGAGTGCTGCCCTCTGCTGCGCGTGGAGCACACATCACTTGAAGCAGTAGGGATCTCAGACGTAGCTCTGCGACATCCGCTTCTGCGGGCGTCGCAGGCAGCATCGCAGCCTTGAAGCTTACTCTGTGAATGCGTGTCGCGTCGCTCCGTGCGTCGATGCCCCGGCAGGACGCGGCCGGGACGAGTCGAGGGACGAGAGCTCGGGCGAGGGTAGCCGGGCCGAGTCGCCCACGTCATCCCCGTGGTCGCCCACCGCCTCCGTCGTCAAGCCTTGCCGCAAGTCCAGCCTCAGCTTCCTGCGCGAGGAGGTGAGAGGAAGGGCCGCGGGGAAGCGGAGGGGGGACGATGGCGAGAGAGGGAAAGGAGGGGGGAGATGGGCAGAGGAACGGGAGAGAATAGGATGAGACCGAGGAGGAGAGGCGTGGGGGGGGGGGAGGAGGAAGAGAGGTGAGAGCGGCGAAGATGAGGGGAGAGGATGAGATGAGGCGGGGAGGAGTAGGTGAGAGGAGAGGGAGGGGAGATGAGGATTAGAGATCAGGGGAGAGGAGTAGAGAGGATAGATGAGGAGGGAGATGTAAGGAGGGGTTAAGAAGGAGAGGAATAGATGAGGGGAGGAAGTGATAGGAGGGCATGAGGGGAGGAGGAGAGACTGACGGTGGGATGGAAGATTGGGCCAGTTTGCTCTGTGTCCCAGTTGAGCCTCCCAGAAACTCTCCGGCTTCAGACAAAATTGCATGCGGCAAAGTGGAATTAACAGCTGAGCGCTCGTTGTCTTTGCCTGCAACAGGACCCTGGGCTTCAGCTGGGACTCCTGCAGCAGCAGGAGGGATCTGCATTCAGGTGGGGTCACCACTCCCGGCGTCCGTGTCGTCTGTGTCTGTGAACACCCGACAGTCAGTGGGGAGCGGTGGCACAGTGATTTGCGCGCTTCGATACTGGTCCAGAAACCCAAGTTCGATTCTCACTTACAAACCAATAACAGTGGCGGCCCGAGTTCGATTCCCGCTCACGGCCACCAACACCAAGCGACGATTATTTGAACCGGTCCTAGACCTCCCCTAGGTTGACTCGGCCATAAACGCGTACCTGGTGCGGTGTGTAAATATCAGCATTGGAGAGACAAAGGCGGCTGGACGTGGTGTTGGCCGGGCGTGGTGTTCGCAACTCACCACCGTGCCGGCCTTCATAGGCACTGCTCGCTAACATCACTTGCTTCAAAAATCTGTCAAAGGCTATACAGGTGATCTTTGTCTGTGTTGTGTGTGTGTGTAAGTGAATGTGTGTGTTCATAACGATGAGCGGAGTGCCATGCGGCCATAGCATAGCAAGTTGGCATAGTAGGGAGCACATGCGGTGCATCTGCAGTCAACCCACAGCACCTGGGTCTGTCCCGTGACCTGCCAGCAAGATTTGTGCACCTAACCTGGCACCATCGCTATGGTGACATCACCACCTGGGGTCACCACCTTTTCCACTATAGACCAAACACAGGCATATTTCTCAGTCAGCACTCGGTCTGTTATCAGCACTGTGGAGTCTCCGGTGATAAAGTTCGACACAGCAATTACCGGTACCAGATCTCGGTACAAGTCAATTTCTTCATCCACCCAAGCACAGACGCCAATTCCTGTACTACCCAGGTGAAACCTGGGCTGGTTGTGGCCCTATCACCACCACTTAGTGGTGAAGGGCAGCAGTGGTTGTTGTTGTTGTTGTAAGGCCAACTACCAGCTACACTCCTGCTGCCTATGAAGTGTAGTCTGGTGTAGCTGTCACTTAGTGGCAGCTGTTGCTGCTGCTGCTGCTGTTGTTGCAAGGCCATCTACTCCTTCTGGTTATGAAGTGTCGACTGATTTAGCTGTCGCTTGATGGAAGCTGTGACGTTGTAAACGTCACAGCTTTTAATTTGTGGCAGCTGTTGCTGTTGTAAGGCCAGCTACTCCCACGAGTTAACAAAGTGTCGTCCAGTGTAGCGATCAGTGGCAGCTATTGCTGCTGCTATTGTTGCAAGGCCAGCTACCCGGCCCAAGGTTGTGAAGTTTACTCTGGCATAGCTGCCAGTTGTAGCTGTTGCTGCTGCTGTTGTTGCAAGGCCAGCTACTTGGCCCCAGGCTGTGAAGTTTCCTCCGGTGTAGCTGTCAGTGGCAGCAGCTGCTGCTGATATTGCAAGGATGGCTACTCCCTCTAGTTACGAAGTGTAGTCCGGTTGGATGCTGCTGCCGTTGTTGCAAGGCCAGCTACTTGGCCCCAGGCTGTGAAGTTTATTCCGGTGTAGCTGTCAGTGGCAGCAGCTGCTGCGGCTGCTATTGCTATTGCAAGGATGGCTACTCCCTCTAGTGTAGTCCGTTTGGATGCTGCTGCTGTTGTTGCAAGGCCGGCTACCCCGGCCCCAAGGCTGTAAAGTTTCCTCCGGTGTAGCTGTCACGCGCTAGGCAAACAACCGTGCGACCCACGCCGCGTGGCCACGCCAAGTGCGACCGCTGCCAGGCAACTGTGTTTAGAGATCGCGGGTGAGAGTGGGGCGGGGGGGGGCGGTGGTGTTTGGGACACGGAGACGTCCACGTGGACGTGGTGCTCGCGGATTCTTCACTCTGCCCGCCCGCCCGCCCGCCCGCCGCCACCGCCGCTGCTCGCGTGACGAGAGAGGTAGAGTTACCGTGAGAAGTTTGGTTGAACTGTTTAGAAGAAATGATGGTCGTTGTCGTCGTCAATGGTTATGACGATAGGCGTAAGGGAATGTTGGTCATCTGTGTTTTTGGGGGTCTAAAGCAAAAATATATGTTAAGGAATGTGTTGTGAAATATCTAGTGTATAGTGAATGACATGTGTTTGAATGTAGTCGATTGTATATTAGAAAGCATAGTGAGTTATATAATTTTGTTCACTTTCTCCTGTCTCATCTGATGTTATTTGTGCCATTTGGTTGTGTTATTTGTGTTGTCTTGTTATTGTAGTTGTGCTGTCTGGTTGTGTTGTTTTTGGTTGTCTTGTTATGTTATTTTGTGTTCGTGTTATTTGTGCTATCTGGTTGTGTATTTCTGTTTGTATTGTAATGTTATTTGTGTTGTGTGGTTGTGTTATTCGTGTTATACGTAATAATGTTATTTGTGCTGTCTGGTTGTGTTGTATTGTAATGTATTTGCACTGCTTGGTTGTGTTATTCGTGTTGTATGTAATGTTATGTATGCTGTCTGGCTGTGTTATTGTGTCATCTTGTTATGTTATTTGTGCCTTCTGGTTCCTATTCCAATACCGCGTTGTCTCCGCAGAGGGACGGTGGCCGTGTGAGTGAGCGAGTCAGCGAGTGATGGAGCGCGTGCGTGGGTGCTCCCGTCACTATTGCGTGGGCAAACCCCAGCACGGTCGCTCTCGCAAACGATGCTCTGCCTGGCCTCCTGAGCTCGCACCGGGTTCAACAAAACACGCTCGAAACTCGATCACCGCCACGATTGTTCAGGACCGATCCTTCGCTCCGAGCGGCGCCCACCGACGGGAGTCGATGGCGTCGCTGCACGGGGAGTCGAGGGCTCGGGCTGCGGGGGAGCTGAGAGAGGGGGGCGCGGGGGGTCGAGCTACGCGGAGGACCCCAAGCTCTGCAGCCGACGGCCGGCTCTGGGTCATCGCGGGTCGCCTTCATGGAGGAGGTTCAGCGCTTTGCCCAGTGAGGAGTCGTCGGGAGTCAGCGTCATCGTCAATAGCATCGTCGTCCGCTGATACCCGCGCGGGTTTTCTCGGTTTGTGCTACAATGCAACCCTCTGATGCGATTTTGAGTTGTGTCACGCGGTGTCCCCGTAGACGCTCAAACATTCACGAGGTGGCGCTGCCAAATCGAGCAGGCCCAGCCCACCACCGCCCCGGTACAGGATTAGTTTTTTATGAAATGGAAGATATCTGTGAGATGCCGATGCTATGCGAGCGTGCTTGCACTTTACAGACGGGCAGAGCCGTGGAGTCCGATTTGTCTTTTGCCAAAGCTTGCCGCTCTACGGCGCGTTTTCTGGTTGCGTTTTGCTCCACGCGCTGAGAGTTTCCTCTGAACGCTGGGAGTTCAGTTCCTGGAGAAGCTCCCAGCACGTGCCGTGAAATGTCGGACGGCGTGCCCGTCGCCACGAGAACACCCGGGAGAGCCGTAGACCACCATCCTCTCCATCTTCTTCCTGCCGTTGTTTCACGCGTGCTGCATCTGCCACTGCATTGCCCGACTCCGCGGCATGCCCCGTGTCCCGCACGCGACAGTTCACGTGCAATTCGGTTGCTTCCGAGGATGATTGTGCGTCTTTCACGACAGTTTTCTTCTAGATTTTAAGCTTTCGTGACTGCAAGGATTCATATTCTTAGGTTTTTTCGGTAAAGTCACGTAGGTAAAAAATGTTAATTAATAAAGTAAAATAAAAATAAAACAAAAACACGACGTTTCGGAGGCAACACAAGCTTCCGTCTTCAGGTGGAACCGTCACAGCACGTTGCCTCCGAAACGTCGTGATTTTGTTTTATTTTACTTTATTAATTTTAATTTTTTACCTACGTGACTTTACCGAAAAAACCTAAGAATATGGTTTTTCTTTTCTTGTTTATTTTTACACAGTTGCCGAGCACGGGCTCAAAGGCCAAAACCATCAAGCAGCCAGAACAAACACTACTGTCAAAGTTGTCATAGCGATAAGAATTAACGCATTTCTTGCGTGAGCAAAGTTATTATGAGGGCTTTGAAAAGAGACGATGGGTGGGAATTTCAAAGTGGAGCAGAGAAGTTTAGCGACCTGCAGTGTGGAGCGTGAGTGATTGAGGAGTGAGTGGGTGAGTCATTGGTGAGTGTGTTGTTGTGACCTGCAGTGTGGTGGTTGAACGCAGTGGTGGATGAGATTAAACAATTGGTGTCTTGTAGACCGAATTTCTCGACATGTGAAGAGGAATCAATGGGTGACATTTTAGTCGATAATCCTGTTTTTTTTTGTTTTTGAATGATGCCCTACATCCTGTCTGGCAGACTCAGCAGCACAACTTCATATCCATGATGCAGGCAGTGGCGATGTCACTGCCCGGCTTCATGAGCTCCGACCAGAGCAGGCACCCTCCTCCTCCACCTTCTGTGCCACCACCGCCCTCACCACCGCACTCCCACCACGATCGTGCTGATCACGACCGCTACCACCACAGTCGTACGCACCACGATCAGACTTACCGTGGTCATGTCCACCACGATCGCGGCAACCACAATCACACTCAACGCGACCGCAACCACCACAATCATGCCAGCCACGATTCCAACCACCATGATGAGACCCACCGTGAACACACCCACGCGAGCTACCGGCAGCAGCCACCAACTCCACCACCAGTACCAGTACAACCACCACCATCGCCACCACCA